GTGTACTCCAGCCTGGGCAGCAGAGACTCTGTCTCCAAAAAATAAATAAATAAAAAATAATAAAAAGAGGTTTCTCATGGCTTCGGTTTGTATTTATTGGTCACTTCTGTCTGTGCTTGTTCGCCATTTGGGTTTCCCTTCTGTGAATTGTCCCTTATACTCTTTCCTCATTTTCTTGTGAGGTACGTTTGTCCATTAATGTGAGGAATTACAATGATAGATTTTCTGATCTTAAGTCATCCTTGCATTTCTAGGATAAACCCTTCTTGATCATGGGGTGTGTGTGTCGATGCGTTGTAGGTAAACTAATATTAGGATTTCCATGTTCATAAGTGAAATGGGTCTTGTGTTCTTATTCAATTAATTGAGATGATTTCAGCCTCATAAAAAAGAGTTGCTCAGCTTTTCTCTTGTTTTCTGGATCAACTTTTATGTGGTTGAAATTATTTCTGTTTAGAAGCTCGGTTAAAAAAAACCCCGAGGCCAGACCGGGTGTGGTGGCTCATGCCTATAATCCCAGCACTTTGGAAGGTTGAGGTGGGCAGATCACTTGAGGTCGGGAGTTCAAGACCAGCCTGACCAACATGGAGAAACCCTGTCACTACTAAAAATACAAAATTAGCCAGGCGTGGTGGCGCATGCCTGTAATCCCAGCTACTCGGGAGCCTGAGGCAGGAGAATCGCTTGAACCCGGGAGGCGGAGGTTGCGGTGAGCTGAGATTGTACCACTGCACTCCAGCCTGCGCAACAAGAGCAAAAACTCCGTCTCAAAGAAAAAAAACAAAAACAAAAACAACAACAACAAAAATACAAACCCGAGGCCAGGCGTGGTGGTTCATGCCTGTAATCCCAGCACTTTGGGAGGCCGAGGTAGGCGGATCATGAGGTCAGGAGATCGAGACCAACCTGGCCAACATGGTGAAACCCCATCTCTGCTAAAATACAAAAAATTAGCTGGGTGTGGTGGTGCGTGGCTGTAGTCCCAGCCACACGGGAGGCTGAGGCAGGGAAATCACTTGAACCCGGGAAGCGGAGGTTGCAGTGAGCTGAGATTGCGCCACTGCACTCCAGCCTGGCAGCACAGTGAGACTCCGTCTCAAAAAAAAGAAGAAAAACCCAAAAAACAAAAAACCCCACCATACTTACAGAAATCATCTGGACCTGGAGCTTTTTTTTTTTTTTTTTTTTTTTTTTTTGAGACGGAGTCTCACTCTGTCGCCCAGGCTGGAGTGCAGTGGCCGGATCTCAGCTCACTGCAAGCTCCGCCTCCCGGGCTCACGCCATTCTCCTGCCTCAGCCTCCCGAGTAGCTGGGACTACAGGCGCCCACCACCTCGCCCGGCTAGTTTGTATTTTTTTAGTAGAGACGGGGTTTCACCATATTAGCCAGGATGGTCTCGATCTCCCGACCTCGTGATCCACCCGTCTCGGCCTGCCAAAGTGCTGGGATTACAGGCTTGAGCCACCGCGCCTGGCCTTCTTTTCTTTTTTTTTTTTTTAATGTTTCCTTGAGACACAGTCTCACTGTGTCTATGTTGCCCAGGCTGGAGTACAGTGGCACTATCTTGGCTTACTGTAGCTTTGACCTCCCCAGGCTCAGGTAATCCTCCTACCTCAGCCTCCGGAGTAGCTGGGACTACAGGCACACACCACTATGCTCTGCTAATTTTTGTGTTTTTCGTAGAGATGGGGTTTTGCCGTGTTGCCCAGGCGGGTCTTGAACTCCTAAGATCAAGCAGTCCTCCTACCTCAGCCTCCCAAAGTGCTGGGATTACAGGCATGAGCCACCGTGCCTGGCTGAGACCACTTTTAAGAGCTGCTGTGTCGACGTCTCTTTTTTCATCAGCTCCTCACTCTATCCAGGTCTAGATTGGCCCTGAAATACTCTGCTATCTCTGTCTGGTATTGGGCTGGCACTGCTGTTTTTCTGGCTGATGGTGGGATAGGGCTAGAGTGAGCAAAGATTGGCCAGTGCAATGAAAATCAGAAAGGATGCAGCTAGAAAACAAGCTATGAAATACACTTATCTAGATACCCCACTGACACACAAAAGAAGTAAAAAAAAACAGTCTTGTTTTCTTTATACTTATATGTCTTCTCAACTTTACTGTGATCTTTCATGATTTCTTCACCTTTTTAGTCCTCTAGGCTTGAAACTTCATTCATTTTCAACTTTTTCTCCACACAGTGAGTTCCTGAGTAATCTCAGCATTTCTTTCACCACAGTGTTTCTAATTTGTTTCTTTTTACTCCCATAGCCACATCCCTAATCCAAATTATTACTCCCCAAAAGCATGTAAATCTTTCCAGCCTTGAACTTCACCATGTGATTTACAGTTAATAGTCATTGTGAACATTAACAAAGCTCACATTTATCAGGCATCTGCTTCTAATGCTTTATATCCACATCCATATATCCATATCCTACTACGTGCATTTTTAAAAATTGCTTTCTTATTTTTTTTTTTATTTTTTGAGATGGAGTCTTGCTCTGTCGCCCAGACTGGAGTGCAGTGGCGCGACCTCAGCTCACTACAAGCTCCGCCTCCTGGGTTCACGCCATTCTCCTGCCTCAGCCTCCTGAGTAGCTGGGACTACAGGCGCCTGCCACCACACCTGGCTAATTTTTTGTATTTTTAGTAGAGACGGGGTTTCACTGCATTAGCCAGGATGGTCTCGATCTCTTGACTTCGTGATCCACCTACCTCGGCCTCCCAAAGTGCTGGGATTACAGGTGTAAGCCACTGTGCCCAGCCAAAAATGTTTTCTCGAGACACAGTCTCACTCTGTCTCTGTTGCCCAGGCTAGAGTACAGTGGCACTATCTCAGCTTACTGTAGCTTTGACCTCCCCAGGCTCAGGTAATCCTCCCATCTCAGCCTCTCGAGTAGGTGGGACTACAGGCGCACACCACCATGCTCTGCTAATTTTTGTATTTTTTGTAGAGATGGGGTTTTGCCATGTTGCCCAGGCTGGTCTTGAACTCCTAGGTTTAAAGGTTGGATTAGGTTCTCATATATAGAAAGTTTCATGGCAGATACTTTATTGAAGACCTACTATTTGTCAAGTAGTATGCTTGGTACTTTTTTTTTTTTTTTTTTTTTTGAGACAGAGTCTCGCTCTGCTGCCCAGGCTGGAGTGCAGTGGCCGGATCTCAGCTCACTGCAAGCTCCGCCTCCTGGGTTTACCGCATTCTCCTGCCTCAGCCTCCCGAGTATCTGGGACTACAGGTGCTGCCACCACGCCCAGCTAGTTTTTTATATTTTTTTAGTAGAGACGGGGTTTCACCGTGTTAGCCAGGATGGTCTCGATCTCCTGACCTTGTGATCTGCCCATCTCGGCCTCCCAAAGTGCTGGGATTACAGGCTTGAGCCACCGCGCCCGGCCGCTTGGTACTTTAAATAGTCTTTTATTGTTTGTAGCATAACTCCTGAAAGTAGTTGCTATGACAGTTCTACAGATACTAAAACAGGCTTAGAAAAAAGTTTAGGGACTCGACTAAGGTGGCAGAATTACAATTCTAGCCAAGATTTTTCTGACTTCAAAATACATATGCCTTCTGCTAATCCACACTGCTTCAAAAAATGTATCTAATATTCACTATTCATTCTGCAGATGTTTAATAAGATGTGTGTCATGCAGGGATCATATAGTCTCACACCTTTCAGATGCAAATCCTACTGTCAGATAACAGTCTAATAGAGATAAGACATATAGAAACTATAATTTGAAGTAGTGTCTTGGGATGAAAGTCACAGTAAAGTGCAGGGGACTTCAGAGGAGGGAGAGTTTATTTTGAACTGAGGAGTTCAGGGGGTAGACATACTAGGAAAACTGCCTTCTGAGCTGGGCTTTGACAATTGGGAGGGTTTGAATGTGGGAACTTTTTAAAAATAATATTTTAATTGTTTGTTTGTTTGTTTGTGTTTTGAGACAGTCTCACTCTGTTGCCAGGCTGGAGTGCTGTGGCGTGATCTTGGCTCACTGCAACCTCCGACTCCCTGGTTCAAGCAATTCTCCTGCCTCAGCCTCCTGAGTAGCTGGGATTACAGGCACGTGCCACCATGCCCAGCTAATTTTTGTATTTTTAGTAGAGACCGAGTTTCACCATGTTGGCCAGGATGGTCTTGATCTCCTGACCTCATGATCCACCCGCCTCAGCCTCCCAAAATGCTGGGATTACAGGCATGAGCCACCGCGCCTGGCCTGTTTGTTTGTTTGTTTGTTTGTTTGTTTGTTTGAAACAGTCTTGCTCCGTCTCCCAGGCTGGAGTACAGTGACGCGATCTTGACCTATTGCAACCTCTGCTACCCTGGTTCAAGCGATTCTCGTTTCTCAGCCTCCCAAGTAGTTGGGACTATAGGCATGTGCCACCATGCCCAGCTAATTTTTACATTTTAGTAGAGACAGGGTTTCTCCCTGTTGGCCAGGCTAGTCTTGAACTCCTGGACTGAAATGAGCTGCCTGCCTTGGCTTCCTAAATAAAATACTTCTTTGAGGCCAGGCACGGTGGCTCATGCCTGTAATCCCAGCACTTTGGGAGACCAAGGTGGCGGGCAGATCACCTGGGAGACCAAGGCAGCAGGCAGATCACCTGAGGTTAGGAGTTCAAGACCAGCCTGGCCAACGTGGTGAAACCCCGTCTCTACAAAAATACAAAAAAAAATTAGCTGAGCATGATGGTGGGTGCCTATAACCCCAACTACTTGGGAGGCTGAGGTGGGAGAATCACTTGAACCCGGGAGGCGAAGGTTGCATTGAGCCGAGATCATGCCATTGCACTCCAGCCTGGGAGACAGAGCGAGACTCCGTCTCAAAAAAAAACAAAAACAAAACTTTCTTTGAAGGAGTGGAAATAGCATGAGCACACATACAGAAATGGGAAGTGTGGTATGTATGATTGTGAGTTTCTTGAGGGAACACTGGAAAGTATTTTTTAATAACTATACTTATTTTTAAGAGACATGTAAACCTCAAGTGTTTCTTTTTTTCTTCTTTTTAGCTTACAGTTGAGCATGAGTCTTCTTATGATTAGTGAGAATGTAAAATTGGCTCGTGAATATGCATTGCTGGGAAACTATGACTCTGCGATGGTCTATTATCAGGGAGTTCTTGACCAAATGAACAAGTATCTGTACTCAGTCAAAGATACATACCTCCAGCAAAAATGGCAACAGGTGAGAATAATGGCTACTGTGTGTTTTAATGGCTTAAGTACTAGGAAGAGAAAATTTAGATCAGATGTCAATGCTATATGTAGTTACATGTTAAGACTGTATGGCTGGGCACAGTGGCTCACGCCTGTAATCCCAGCACTTGGGGAGGCTGAGGCGGGCAGATCACAAGGTCAGGAGATCAAGACCATCCTGGCTAACACGGTGAAACCCTGTCTCTACTAAAAATACAAAAAAATTAGCCAGGTGTGGCGGCGGGTGCCTGTAGTCCCAGCTACTTGGGAGGCCGAGGCAGGAGGATGGTGTGAACCTAGGAGGTGGAGCTTGCAGTGAGCTGAGATCCCACCACTGCACTCCAGCCTGGGCGACAGAGCAAGACTCTGTCTCAAAAAAAAAAAAAAGACTGTATGACTACCGAGCACAGTACACAGTGGCTCACTCCTATTATCCTAACACTTTGGGAAGCCAAAGCAGAAGGATCACTTGAGGCCAGGAGTTCAAGTCCAGCCTAGACAACATAGCACGACTTCATCTCTACAAAAATAAAACAATTAGCCAGATGTGGAGGTGCATGCCTGTAGTCCTAGCTACTAGGGAGGATCACTTGAGCCTGGGAGGTTGAGGCTGCAGTGAGCTATGCTTGTACCACTACACTCCAGCCTGGGCAACAGAGCTAGACCTTGTCTCAAAAATAAAAAACAAAACAAAACATAAGTATTTGAGTTATTACACAGATTTCTATATAATATTACTTGAAACTTTATTAATAATCACTTTCACCATCAGCAGTATTATGAGTTCTACTTAACTCTAATTGCTGGAATCTAATAAGAGAGGTTTTTTGTTTGTTTTTTCTCGAGACAGAGTTTTGCTCTTGTCATCCAGGGTGGAGTGCAGTGGCGCGATCTCGACTCACGGCAACCTTCACCTCCCAGGTTCAAGCCTCCTGAGTAGCTGGGATTACAGGCGCCTGCCTCCACACCCAGCTAATTTTTGTGTTTTTGGTAGAGACGGGGTGTCACCATGTTGGCCAGGCTGGTCTCGAACTCCTGACCTCAGGTAATCTGCCCGCCTTGGCCTCCCAAAATGCTGGGATTACAGGCATGAGCCACTGCGCCCAGCCACGAGTTTCTTAAAAGAATGGTTTTGACATTTTTTGTTCAGATTTTTACTTGGTAAAAATAGAGTAGACTTTATTAAGCCATTGTCGAAACTGTAAATGGCTTGTGAATCTCACAGGCATCATATATATATATTTTTAATTTTTGAGAGAGGTTCTTGCTCTCTTGCCCAGGAGGGAGTGCAGTGGTACGGTCTGCAGCCATGACCTCCCAGGCTCAAACAATCCTCCCATTCAGCCTCCTGAGTGGGAGAAACCACACCACACATGTGCCGCACTGTGACCTGCTAATTTTTAAATTTTTTTGGTAGAGATGGGATCTCCCTGTTTCCCAGGCTGGTTTCAAACTCGTAGACTAAAGTGATCCTCCCACCTCAGCCTCCCTGAGTGGTGGGACAGGTGTGAGCCACCACACCCAGCCTCATATTCCTTGTATAACAGAACTTTATAAAGCAGATTATGGTTGAATCCCATTGAGAAATTTCAGTTACTGAGGACCAACAGAAATTTAAAATTGGAAATTGTGTAACTTACAGGTCCAGTGGAGGGTGGCATTTATAACAAGGCTCAACTATGTCACAAGAGGAAAAAAATGTTAAGAAAATAATAGTCTTGCCGGGCGTGGTGGCTCACACCTGTAATCCCAGCACTTTGGGAGGCTGAGGTGAGCTGATCTCCTGAGGTCAGGAGTTCAAGACCAGCCTGACCAATGTGGTGAAACCCCATCTCTACTAAAATACAAAAAAATTAGTTGGGTGTAGTGGCGGGTGCCTGTAATCGCAGCTACTTGGGAGGCTGAGGTGGGAGAATCTCTTGAAGCCAGGAGGTGGAGGTTGTAGTGAGCCGAGATTGTGCCATTGCACTCCAGCCTGGCAACAGAGCGAGGCTCTGCCTCAAAAAAAAAAAAAAAAAAAAAAGAAAGTAATAGTCTTTTTGAGCTGATCTTCTAGATAGAATATTATACCTCAGATTTTACTGAGCTGGTTTTTAAATATTGTTCAATATTTGTCCTTAATTTTTTTGAGAGAAATAGCCTATCTCTTTGAACTTAATCTATTTCCCTATATCTGTCCCTCCATATCCTTTATTGTATCCATATAATTACCAGAAGGGGCAAATATTTTATTTTATTAATCTTTTATTTATTTATTTTTTATAGACATGGCATCTCAGTATGTTATTCAGGCTGGTCTTGAACTCCTGGACTCAAATGATCCTCTTGCCTCAGCCTCACAAAGTGCTAGGATTATAGGCATGAGTCACCATGCTCGGCCTAGAAAATATTTTATTTCTGGCCGGGCGCGGTGGCTCAAGCCTGTAACCCCAGCACTTTGGGAGGCCGAGGCGGGTGGATCACGAGGTCAGGAGATCGAGACTATCCTGGCTAACATGGTGAAACCCCGTCTCTACTAAAAATACAAAAAACTAGCCGGGCGTGGTGGCGGGCGCCTGTAGTCTCAGCTACTCGGGAGGCTGAGGCGGGAGAATGGCATGAACCCGGGAGGCGGAGCTTGCAGTGAGCCGAGATCACGCCACTGCACTCCAGCCTGGGCGGCAGAGCGAGACTCCGTCTCAAAAAAAAAAAAAAGAAAATATTTTATTTCATAAGGAGTCTTAAGGTTGTCAGTGAAGGACTTTCAGACCTTTTGTTGTTGGCCACAACAAAAGGTACTTAGACTTAAGTACCTTTAAACAAAAGCTACTTAAGTCTAAGCTTTTGTTTAAAGGTACTTAAGATTAAATCATTTAAGTTATAAAACAAAACATTATCATCTTAAATTTCATTTCAATATTATATATATAGTTTTTTTTTTTTACCATTTTCTTTTTTTTTTTTTTTTTTTTGAGATGGATTTTCTCACTTGTTGCTCAGGCTGGAGTGCAATGGTGTAGTCTCAGCTCACTGCAGCCTCCACCTCCTGGGTTCAAGTGATTCTCCTGCCTCAGACTCCCGAGTAGCTGGGATTACAGGAGCCTGCCACCACACCCAGCTAATTTTTGTATTTTTAGTAGAGACAGGGTTTCACCTTGTAGCCAGGCTAGTCTTGAACTCCTAACCTCAGGTGATCCGCTTGCCTTGGCCTCCCAAAGTGCTGGGATTGCAAGCATGAGCCACCATGCCTGTCCTACCATTTTCTTATTATGGTAAAATATACATAACACTTTACTGTTTTTTTTTTCTTTTTTTTTGAGATGGAGTCTCACTCTCTTGCCCAGGCTGGAGTGCAGTGGCGCAATCTCTGCTCACTGCAACCTCCGCCTCCCGGGTTCAAGTGATTCTCCTGCCCCAGCCTCCCAAGTAGCTGAAATTATAGGTGTGCGCCACCACACCCAGCTAATTTTTGTGTACTTTCGGTAGAGACAGGGTTTTTGCCATGTTGGCTAGGCTGGTCTGGAACTACTGACTTCAGGTGATCCGCCTGCCTCAGCCTCCCAAAGTACTGAGATTACAGATGTGAGCCACTGCATCCGGCCTTGGCCATTTTTAAGTATACAACTCAGTGGCATTAAATACAAGTATAATGTACAGCCGTCACCATAGTTTTTAGGCTGAGTTAAGACCCATTACTATAATACAGTTGAATCAAAACTATGTATAGGTTTTTGAGGGTTTTTTTGAGGCAGGGTCTCAGGCTGTTGCCCAGGCTGGAGTACAGTGGTGCAGTCATGGCTCACTGCAGCCTTAACTTCCCAGGCAATCCTCTCATCCAGCCTCCGGAGCAGCTGGGACCACAGGCACAAACCAACATGTCTGGTTTATTATTATTATTTTTTTTAGAGATGGGGTATTGCCATGTTGCCCAGGCTTAGTTTTTAAATTGCGTCAAGATTCCTTTTCTCTTTTATTTTTGAGTTGGAGCCTTACTCTCAAAACTAGGGCCATTTCACTACATTCCAGACTGGATGACAGAATGAAACCCTATCTCTAAAAAATATTTAAAAAAAAAAAAAAAAAAAAGACTGCTTTTAAAAAAATACCTTCGTTGCATATGAATTGAGACCTTTTTAGTCTGTAGGTTGTGACCCATTAGTCGTAAAATTAGTATATTCTGATCAGTGTTGTTTTCGTTTTTTAGAAATTATTTACTGATAGATAATAGTTGTACATATCTTGGGCATACGCATTATATTTTGTTTCCTATATACAATATTTAATTATCAAATCAGGGTAATTGGGATTATTCAGCATTTACGAAGTTAATTAAATAGCATAAAAGTTATCAAAGTAGGGCTGGGCATGGTGGCTGACGCCTGTAATCCCAGCACTTTGGGAGGCTGAGGTGGGAGGATGGCTTGAACCCGGGAGTTTGAGGTTATGGTGAGCTATGATCGTGCCACTGCAGTACAGCCTGGGCAACAGAATGAAACCTTGTCTCTAAGAAATAACAATAAAGTTTGACAAAAATGAAACAAGTTGTGCTTTGATGTTTTTTTTTTTCCCCTTGGGCTCAAGCAATTCTCTCACCTCAGCCTCTCAAGTAGGCAGGACTACAGGCATGGGCCACCATGCCCAGCTAATTATTCTTGTAGAACTTTAAAGTTATGCCTGACTTTTCAGTTTGTTATTCAATTTGTTTTGTTTTGTTTTATTTTTTTGAGATGGAGTCTCGCTCTGTTGCCCAGGCTGGAGTAATGGCATGATCTCAGCTCACTGCAACCTCTGCCTTGTGGGTTCAAGCAATTTTCCTGCCTCAGCCTCCCAAGTAGCTGGGATTCCAGGTGCCCGCCACCACACTCAGCTAATTTTTTTTTTTTTAGTAGAGGTGGGGTTTCACCATTTTGGCCAGGCTGGTCTTGAATGCCTGACCTCAGGTGATCTGCCTCCTTGGCCTCCCAAAGGGTTGAGATTACAGGTGTGAGCCACTGTGCCCAGCCTATTATGCAACTTATTTATTTATTTATTTATTTATTTATTTGAGCCAAAGTTTCACTCTTGTTGCCCAGGCTGGAGTGCAATGGCGTGATCTCCAGCTCACCACAACCTCCGCCTCCGGGGTTCAAACAATTCTCCTGCCTCAGCCTCCCGAGTAGCTGGGATTACATACATGTGCCAGCATACCCGGCTATGCAATTTGAATAAGAATGTAAATTAGTAGTATTATTTAATTAGCCTGGATTTTTTTTTTGAGACAGAGTCTTGCTGTGTTGCCCAGGCTGGAGTGCAGTGGCGCAATCTTGGCTCTCTGCAACCTCCATCTCCTGGGCTCAAGCAATTCTCCTGCCTCAGTCTCCCAAGTAGCTGGGACTATAGGCGCTTGCCCCATGCCCGGCTAATTTTTTGCATTTTTAGTAGAGATGGGGTTTTACCATATTGGCCAGGCTTGTCTCAAACTCCTGAGCTCAAGTGATCCGTCCGCCTCAGTTTCCTAAAGTGCTGGGATTACAGGCATGAGCCACCATGCCTAGCCTATCCTGGATGTTTAATTCATTTTATCAGAATTAGTTTTGCAATTGAGGGCCCGGCACAGTGGCTCATGCCTGTAATCTCAGCACTTTGGGAGGCCTAGGCGGGTGGATCACGAGGTCAGGAAATCAGGACCTTGCTGGCTAACATGGTGAAACCCTGTCTCTACTAAAAATACAAAAAATTAGCCGGGCGTGGTGGCAGGCGCCTGTAGTCGCAGCTACTCAGGAGGCTGAGGCAGGAGAATGGCGGGAACCCGGGAGGCGGAGCTTGCAGTGAGCAGAGGAGTGATCACGCCACTGCACTGGTGACAGAGCGAGACTCTATCTCCAAAAAAAAAAAAAATTTGCAGTTGAAAACATAAATTTAATGAACTGTTTTTAAAATTTCGATAGAATATCTTGATGTGGTTTACTGGATATCTGATATCAAAATGGAGTTTTCTAACATGTCTAATAAATGGCCCTCATTTAATTTTGACAGTGATATATTATAGAAATTTAAAGATGCTTCTTCTTCTTTGAAATCAGGTTTGGCAGGAAATAAATGTGGAAGCTAAACATGTTAAAGATATCATGAAAACACTAGAGAGCTTTAAACTAGACAGCACTCCCTTGAAGGCAGCACAGCATGACCTTCCAGCTTCTGAGGGAGAAGTCTGGTCCATGCCTGTACCTGTTGAACGAAGGTAAGTGGAGACCTTTTAAGAAACCAGTTAGCCCAAGAAGCTTATAGCATTGATTATATCTAGGAGGAGGATGGGGTGGCTGAGAGACAGGAATGGGAGGGAGTTTTCTTTACTGAATGTTCACTCTTTTATAACTCACTGGTCTTGAACCTTGTGCCTTTTTGACCTATTTCAAAAAATAAGATTTCGGTAGGAATAATTTAAAAATATGCTTTTGTGAATGACCTTAAAGTGGTAGAGACAGTGTTATCTTGTGGAAGGAGAATGGGGTTAGGAATTGAAATATTCAGGCTCTGTGTCTGTCTTTGCCACTCTCTGTAGCTTTGGGAAAATAATAGAACCTTTCTAGGCCTCAGATTTTTCTTTTTTTTCCTTTTTTTTGTTTTTTTAGACGGAGTCTTACACTGTCAGGAGACTGGAGTGCAGTGTTGCGATCTCAGCTCACTGCAACCTCCGCCTCCCGGGTTCAAGCGACTCCCCTGCCTCAGCCTCCTGAGCAGCTGGGACTACAGGCATGCATCACCATGCCTGGCTAATTTTTTTGTATTTTAGTAGAGACGGGGTTTCACCATGTTGGCCAGGCTGGTCTTGATCTCCTCACCTCGTGATTCGCCTGGCCTCAGCCTCCCAAAGTGCTGGGATTACAGGCCTGAGCCACCGTGCCCGGCCAGGCCTCAGATTTTTCTTATGCAAAGAGAGGAAGTTAGACTAACAGTGGTTCTCAAACAGGAATCACAGAATATTTCTTTTCATCAAGCTGTAACACTGCTAAAATTAAAAAAAAAAACAAAGGGCTTTTTAATTCATAGAGAACAGTAAAAATAAAATGTTCTGAATTTTAGGGTTTTCTCTGGCTTTTTTTCCCCCAACTTCCTACTACCAAGTGCCAGCAAAGGAACAACTAGTGATGCTGATATTTACTGAAGTACTGTAACTAGCCAATCATGCATAGTTTTACTGCATATTTTTTAACTGACAAATGTGCAGGTGGATGTTATCTACTTCATTCACATGATAGATTTTCTAATTTGTATTATAGATTTAAATATTGACTGTGTCATGCCTTTCTAGAAAGAACACTTATGACTTCCCGGGTTCATTGCCCGTTAACCTTGCATTAAGATGTTGCCCAGATGGTTTTCAGTTTTAACATTTTGTCATTGCAACTCTGATTTCTTGTTTTTTTTTTTTTTTTTTAAGACTAGTTAAGTGCAGTAGTGAGAAGGTGGGGAAGAGTAGAACAAAGAGTTTGATCTGTAACTGACTGTGAACAATCAATTGAGATAACTCACTGCCTTTGAACCGGGCTTGGTTGTATTTTATTTTATTTATTTATTTTTTGAGACGGAGTCTCACTCTGTCTCCCGGGCTGGAGTGCAGTGGCATGATCTCAGCTCACTGCAACCTCTGCCTCCTGGGTTCAAGCAAGTCTCCTGCCTCAACTCCCCAAGTAGCTGGAATTACAGGTGACCGCCACCACGCCCAACTAATTTTTTGTATTTTTAGTAGAGAGGGGGTTTCACCATGTTGGCCAGGCAGGTCTCGAACTCCTGACCTCGTGATTCGCCCACCTTGGCCTCCCAAAGTGCTGGGATTACAGGCGTGAGCCCCTACACCCGGCCTGGTTGTATTTTATAATATAGGTGCTGGATTATACATCCACAGTGTTCTGAACTATTTTAAGCTATAAGTGTTATTTTATTTATTTGTTACAATAAGCCTTCCAAATAAGTCATATTTTCCCCATATTTCAGATAAGACAGCTGAGGTACAATAAGGTTGAGTAACTTTTCCCCACTATCACAAAACCAATAACTGTTAGAGCTAGGATTTGAACCTATACATATTGTGTTTTATAATAATGATTACAAAGCTGGCAGTCTCTGCTATAGCAGTCCTAACAATCTCTAATTAAAAATGTGGATTTAGGGACATCACTCCCAGAGAGTCTGATACAGTAGACAGCAGGTAGAACTCAGGAATCCACAGGTGATTCTGATGTAGGTGGTCGCTAGGTCACATTTTGAGAAGACCCATACCTTCATGTTCTTGACATTTAAAATCAATTGATGAGTATTGATTATTTCTTAGCCACTTTTTTTATTTTTATTTTTTTGAGATGGAGTCTTGCTCTCTCGCCCAGGCTAGAGTGCAGTGGCACGATCTTGGGTCACTGCAACCTCCACCTCCTGGTTCAAGCAATTCTTCTGTCTCTGCCTCCCAAGTAGCTGGAATTACAGGCATGTGCCACCACGCTGGCTAATTTTTGTATTTTTAGTAGAGTTGGGGTTTCACCATGTTGGCCAGGCTGGTCTTGAAGTCCTGACCTCAGGTGCTCCACCCGCCGTGGCCTCCCAAAGTGCTGGGATTACAAGCGTGAGCCACCACACCCAGCTGCCACTTTTATTTTCTTAATCTTCACATAAAAGGACTGTACTAGTGTTCTGTTACTGACTCCTGATATCCTTTGGCGATTTGCTAAATTTTTCCCATGCCTCATAAGCACTTTCACATAATTACATTTTCTGTTATATTACATAATAGTTCACTAAAACACAGTAACTCATTAAAGAAAAATAGAAAAATTCATAGAAGTAGGGGGAAAATCACACAGTCATCCTAGTTTGTTTTCTTCGGTTCTTTTATGCATTATTTTCATAGTTGTAGTTGTGCTATATCCATAATTTACAACATTGTACCCTCTTTTAAGAAAAATCCTAATAATAGTCAACAATCATTGCATATTACTGTGTGCCAGGTACTGTGTTTGTTGTTTTACATGTATTATTTAATTCTCAAAACCACCTTAGAAGGTAGGTACTAATTTTTTTAGCCCCAATTTCTGATGAGGATAAGCTAAGATAGATTAAATAATTTGCTCTTCATATTTTAAACATTTATGATTTATAAACCATGTCAGATCTTTTTCCCTGCAGTTTTTTAAGAGTTATTTGCCACTGTTCTGACTGGTATGTAACCTATATAATTAACCATGCTCTTAGTGTTTTTTCCTGCTTTTTTCATTATTATAAATAAAGTTGCAGTGAAGAGTTGTGAGTAAAAATTTTTCCACATTTATAATGTTTTCCCCTAATTTCAGAAGTAGAACTAATAGATGAGTCAAGTTGTGTTTTTGCTTTTGTCTATTAATTTGTTTTATTCTTATTTACTTGCTCTTTTCTTTTCTCCTTCTGGAGAATCATCACTTGGGTCTTGTATTAGTCTGCTTGGGCTACCATAACAAAATACCGTACACTGGGTGGCTTAAACACAGAACTTTGCTTATCACACTTCTGGAGGCTGGGAAGTCCAAGATCAAGATGTGGCCAATTTGGTTTCAGGTGAGGGCTCTCTTCCTGAGCAGACAGCCACTGTCTCTCTGTGTGCTCACATGGCAGAGAGAGTGAGTGAGCTCTTTGGTGTCTTTTATAAGGACATTAATCATGTCACATCAGGGACTCTTACTTCCTTACTCCTAATAGTCATATTGGGCATTGGGGCTTTAACATATGAATTTTGGGGAGGACACAAACATTCAACCTCTAACAGTACTATAACTCTTCTCAGTTATTGGTAAGATCTTTCCAACAAATAGATGTTCCCAGTGGGAAATCAGTTGATTCTGAATTTAGTGAAGTATTTGGTCACCTCAGTCTCACAAGCAGAGAGGCAGGATTTCCTCTGAGGGGTGGTGGGAAGTTAAGCCCTAAATTTGGCTGTTCCTTCTTATTTTTTCTTGCTTTCTTCAGTATCGTTTTCTGTTCCTGATTTTGAATGCTCTAGATTACTGTTAAGTTTTCCTTTTTGACTTTATTTGTGGCATCTGTTTCTTCCTGTAATTTATTTGTTTCCTTAACTGGATCTTTTAAGATTCTTTTTATTTTTCTATTAGTCTTCATTTGTACTCACGCTTAAGAGAGTTTTTTGTTTTGTTTTTTTTTTTGAGACGGAGTCTTGCTCTGTTGCCCAGGCTGGAGTGCAGTGGCACAATCTCGACTCACTGCAACCTCTGCCTCCCAGGTTCAAGCGATTCTCCTGCCTCAGCCTTCCATGTAGCTGGGACTACAGGTGTGTGCCTCCACGCCTGGCTAATTTTTGTATTATTAGTAGAGACGGGGTTTCACCAGTTGGCCAGGCTGGTTTCGAACTCCTGACCTTGTGATCCGCCCACCTCTGCCTCCCAAAGTGCTGGGATGACAGTCATGAGCCACTGGTACCTGGCCGAGAGTCATTCTTTCTTCACCTATGTTGGTGATTCTAACCTTATCACCACCTAAATTTTAGTACCATTAAAGAACAGATTCAACTGATCCAGTATTCGCTTCTAGAACGGTACACAAAAAATTGAGTACATGGAGGTTTGTTGAAGCCTTATGTAGAAAAAGTTAGACATAGCTTAAATGCCACTAGATGTGATTCTTTTCAAATGTCTTTTAACAGTCAGCTGATGTCCCTAAGATATCTTCCCATCTCACAGAATAAAACCTAGAGTTTTCATGTCTTTCAAGCTCTATGAGACCTGGTTCCCCGCAGCCTCTGGGACCTAAGTTCTTACAGCTCTCTCCCTCAGGCACTGTGCTGTGGCCTTGAATGAGCCAAGGCCACAAATGCTTCACTCCTTTCACCTGCCTTTCCCTCAGCTCCAGTGCTGAATGGCCTGTTCCCTTCTTTCGTTTAGCTCTCTACCTAATTGTCACCTCAGAAAGTCTGTCTCTGACTACACCACCTAAAAACCATCCTGCGTGATCCCGTAGCCCCTTGCCCCTCTTTTTTGTTTTTGAAACAGAGTCTTGCTCTGTCACCCAGGCTGGAGTGCAGTAGTGCATCTCAGCTCACTGTAGCCTCCACCTCTTGGGTCCAAGCAATTCTCATGCCTCAGCCTCCTGAGTAGCTGGAATAATTACCCAGCTAATTTTTTTTTTTTTTTTTTTTTTGAGATGGAGTCTCACTCTGTCATCTAGGCTGGAATGCAGTGGTGTAATCTTGGCTCACTGCAACCTCCGTCTCCCAGGTTCAAGCGATTCTCCTGCCTTAGCCTCCCAAGTAGCTGGGATTACAGGCATGCACCACCACGCCCAGCTCATTTTCTTGTATTTTTAGTAGAGACAGGATTTCACCATGTTTGCCAGGCTGGTCTCGAACTCCTGATCTCAAGTGATCCGTCCGCCTGGTCTTGAACTCCTGACCTCAAGTGATCTGCCTGCCTTGGCCTCCCAAAGTGCTGGGATTTCATGCGTGAGCCACCATGGCCAGCCAAATTTTTGTATTTTTGGTAGAGATGGGGTTTCTCCATGTTGGCCAGTCTGATCTCAAACTCCTGACCTCAAGTGATCCACCTGCCTCAGCCTCCCAAAGTGCTGGGATTACAGGCATGAGCCACCATGCCTGGCCCCCTTCTTTATTCTTCTTGATAGCACTTAATATTACCTGGTACTGTTTGATGCACCCCCCATACACACACATACACACACACACGTATGTAAGTCTATGACAGTAAGGGTTTTTGTTGAAATTATTATTATTATTTTTTAAGATGGAGTCTCACTCTGTTGCCCAGGCTGGAGTGCAGTGGCATGACCTCGGCTCACTGCAACCTCCGCCTCCTGGATTCAGGCGATTCTTCTGCCTCAGCTTTCCAAGTAGCTGGGATTACAGGTGCCTGCCACCACACCAGGCTAATTTTTGTATTTTTAGTAGTGACCAGGTTTCACCATGTTGGCCAGGCTGGTCTTGAACTCCTGACTTCAGGTGATCCACCTGCCTTGGCCTCCGAAAGTACTGGAATTACAGGCGTGAGCCACTGTACCTGGCCTGAAATTATTTTTACATTGTTTTTTGAATGACTGAATGGCTAGCAATAAGAAGTAGATGAAATGGCACATTTTATGTAATTGACTACCATCCAGTCATTTATGAGGTTTTGTTATTGGAAATGTCTCAAAGTATAATAAGGAGAGAAAAATACAAGAGTGTATGTGTGTATAATGGTTCTGATTTTGTTTAAATGAAAGATAACTACAAGAAATAGACTAATATGTTAATTGGTTAATTCTGGATAGTGGAGTTACAGGCAACTTTTTAATTCTTTATATAGTTGTCTCTCATTATCTGTGGAGAATTGGTTCTAGGACCCTCACAGATACCAAAATCCATGGATACTCAAGTCCCTTATATAAGATGGTGTATATTTGTTTATATTGAGATGGTGTATTGCTCTGTTGCCCAGGCTGGAGTGCAGTGGTGTGATCTTGGCTCACTGCAATCTCTGCCTCCTGGTTCAAGCAGTTCTCCTGCCTCAGCCTCCCAAGTAGTTGGGACTACAGGCCTGTGCCACCATGTCCAGCTCATTTTTTTTTTTTTCCTGAGACGGAGTCTTACTCTGTCGTCCAGACTGAAATGCAGTGGTGCAATCTTGGCTGACTGCAACCTCCGCCTCCCGGGTTCAAGCAATTCTCCTGCCTCAGCCTCCCGAGTAGCTGGGATTACAGGCGCATGCCACCACACCCAGCTAATTTTTGTATTTTTAGTTGAGATGGGGTTTCACCATGTTAGCCAGGCTGATCTCAGACTGGCTGGTCTCGAACTGCTGACCTCGTGATCCGCCTGCCTCAGCCTCCCACATTGCTAGGATTACAGGCGTGAGCCACTGCGCCCGGCTTTTTTTGGTAAGAGGCGGGGTTTTGCCATGTTGGCCAAGCTGGTCTTGAACTTCTGACCTCAGGTGATCTGCTTGCATCGGTCTCCCAAATTGCTGGGATTACAGGCGTGAGCCGCCGCATCCAACCAGATGGTGTATATTTGCACATAACCTGCACACATCCTCCTGTATATTTTAAATCATATATGGATTACTTGTAACACCTAATACAATGTAAATGTTATATAAATAGTTGTTTCACTGTATTATATAGAGAATAATGACAAAAAAAGTTTGTACATGTTCAGTACCAACTCAACCATCTTTATTTTCAAAATATTTTTCATTGGCAGTTGATTGACTCAGCATTGCGGAATCTGCGGATATGGAAGGCCAACTATATTATATGTCAGTGTCTATTTTGTATTATTTATGTAGCAAAGGGAAAAATACATACACAGAAATATTTCCTGAATCCAAAATTAAACCCCCATCATTGCTTCACATACACGTTGGTTTGGCATTATCATCCTCCCAAATTCTCATTCTCAACTTTCCAGTCTCGCTCTGTCACCCAGGCTGCAGTGCAGTGGCGTGAGCTCGACTCACTGCAACCTCCGCCTCCTGGGTTCAAGCGATTCTCATGCCTCAGCCTTCCAAGTAGCTGAGATTACAAGTGCACAGCACCATGCCCATCTAATTTTTGTATTTTTAGTAGAGACAGGGTTTTGCCATGTTGGCCAGGCTGGTCTTGAACTCCTGACCTCAGGTGATCCACCTGTCTTGGCCTCCCACAGTGCTGGGATTACAGGCGTGAGCCACCACACCCAGCCTAGGAGTGTCTTTTCTTTCTTTCTTTTTTTTTTTTTTTTTTTTTGAGACAGTCGAGGTCTGTTTCCCAGGCTGGAGTACAGTGGCACAATCTCGGTTCACTGCAACCTCTGCCTCCCAGGTTCAAGTGATTCTCCTGCCTCAGCCTCCTGAGTAACTGGGATTACTGGTGCATGCCACCACACCCAGCTAATTTTTTGTATTTTTAGTAGAGATGGAGTTTTACCATGTTGGCCAGTCTGGTCTCGAACTCCTGGCCTCAAGTGATCTGCCCACTTCAGCCTCCCAAAGTGCTGGGATTACAGGTGTGACCACCGTGCCCGGCCAGGAGTGTCTTTACTAATAGTATGTCTCTGAGACTCTTCTCATTGTTACTGCCTTAAACTAGGCCCTCATCTCGTGTCTCAGTAACATTTGTAATCACAAACATCTCACTGCTTTCTGTGTTTTCTTTAGCAGTATATCATGTTCAGTATTAGACTAATATTTCTAAAATGTTTTCAGTGGATCCTTGTTAGCAGTTAGCTAAAAGCTAAGCCTCTTGAACTGGTATTCGTATCTTCTGTGTACCGAACCATTTCTGTTCAGTATTATTGCTTAATGTTCAGCATTATATGTTAGACTGGTGTCTTTATAATCCTTTACATAGATTAAGCTCATTTTTGTTTCTTTGCTTTTCTTTATTGATGTTCTGTCTATAATTGTACCCTCTTGTTTAGTTCAACTCCTGCATTTCCAGTCCCAGTTTATTTTCTGTCTCCATGAGGCCATTCCCATTGCCATAGCACTAGGTCTGTTTCACACCTTCTGGTATACATGCCTAGCTTTACACAGCTTCTGTCTGTTTAACTATACTGTGGTTTATTTGAGAATAGGACTCCTTTTTTTTGTTTGTTTTCCCCGTTGTAAATGGCTGCAACCAAATCTGGGAGCAGAGTAGGATCCTAACGGATATTTGAGAAGTCTGAATCCTGCTACAGAAATAAGGATGAAATGAGAACTGACACAGGGGCTCACTCCTGTAGTCCCAGCTCTTTGGGAGGCCAAGATGGGAAGATCGATTGAGCCCAGGGGTTTGATACTAGCCTAAGCAACATCGTGAGACCTTGTCTCTACAAAATACAAAAATTAGCCTTGTGTGGTGCCATGTGGCTGTAGTCCTTGCTACTCGGGAGACTGAGGTGGGAGGATTGCTTGAGCTTGGGAGGTCAAGGCTGCAGTGACAGAGCAAGACTTTGTGTCAAAAAATAATAATAATAAAAAATAAATACATAAAGGTGAAATGAGGTGATGTATATAAATGTAAAGCACCGAAAATGAGTTATAGTAACTGTTGATAGCTAGTACTGTATCCGTTTTTTAAATGGAAAAATGATTAAATCTTATTAATTAAAACACAAAAATTATGGTATAGATTGAGCTTCCGTGATCCAAAAATTCAAAATATTTCAAAAGCTGAAACTTTTTGAGCACCAGCATGAGACTCAAAGGTCATACTCAGAGGAAGTGCTCATTGGGACATTTTAGATTGTGGATTTTCAGATTAGAGATGCTCAGCTGGTATGTATATGCAAATATTCCAAAATCTGAAAAAATCAAAAATTCAAAAGACTTCTGGTCCCCAAAATTTTGGATAAGGGATACTCAAATCTGTATATTCTAAATAAATGGTACCAAATTGCATATATACCAGTAGATTAATGTGAATTGAGTACTTGCGTTGTATTCTGGTTGTCTCGATAAAACTCTCTTCTCTGATAATTTTTTTTTCAGCTTCCAACAATCAGATGCATTCATCTTTGATACACAACAATTTCCTTTCTAAGTAGAGGTGACCATTACTTCCCCCCCATTATTTCTGTAATATGACTATACCGCATTCCTTTAAGTCACCACCAACAGATATATCAAATTTAAATTTTACTTATTTTTATTTTATTTTTTTATTTTTTTATGTTTTTTGAGACAGAGTCTCACTCTGTTGCCCAGGCTAGAGTGCAGTGGTGCGATCTTGGCTCACTGCACTCTCCACCTCCCAGGTTCAAATGATTCTCCTGCTTCAGCCTCTCAAGTGACTGGCATTACAGATGCGCACCACCACGCCTGGCTAATTTTTTGTATTTGTAGAGACGGGGTTTCACCATGTTGGCCAGGCTGATCTTGAACTCCTGACCTCACGTGATCCACCCACCTTTGCCTCCCAAAATGCTAGGATTACAGGTGTGAGCCATGGCGCCTGGCCCAGATTTAAATTTTAGATCTTAGGTTGCAACATCCTGAAGTTTATTCAGTCGTGTCTTGTGATCAGTTGTTGCATTGGCTTCTTTAGTTCATTGACTCTAACTTACACAGTATGTCTGTTCATCTATATGTGGAGTTGATTATGATATTAATGAGTTTTTGTTTGATTAGACCCTCACCAGGACCTAGAAAACGCCAGTCTTCTCAGTACAGTGACTCTAAATCACATGGTAATCGTCCAGGTACAACTGTCAGAGTTCACCGTTCATCTGCACAGAATCTTCACAATGACAGAGGGAAAGCTGTTCGTTGTCGTGAAAAGAAAGAACAGAATAAAGGAAGAGAGGAAAAGGTAAATGTTAATTGAGTTTTATAAGTGAAAAAGGTATTCTGAACCATAAAAATTGATACTGTATGCATTTATTTATTTTTTTCTTTTTTTCCTTTTTTGAGACAGAGTCTCACCTTGTTACCCAGGCTGGAGTGCAGTGGCGTGATTTTGGCTCACTGCAACCTCCACCTCCTGGGTTCAAGCAATTCTCGTGCCTCAGCCTTCTGAGTACCAGGGATTACAGGCAGGCGCCACCACATCCGGCTGATTTTTGTATTATTAGTAAAGATGGGGCTTCAGCAAGTTGGCCAGGCTGGTCTCGAACTCCTTACCTCAGGTTATCTGCCCCCCCTAGGCCTCCCAAGGTGCTGGGATTACAGGCGTGAGCCACTGTGCCCAGCCTAAATTTCAATAAGTTGTAGTCATCAGTTTGTCAGAGCTATAATAAAACCTTAGTTATGCTACATCTAGGCTGGGATTTTCCCCACTTGCAATTCAACAAATATTTTGGCTTTTTTTGGTAACTTTATATTATGATATAATTTCAGACTAGCAGACAATTTGCAGGAATGGTATAAGGAACTTCCATATATACTTTACCTAGTTTTACCAATTATTAATATTGTGCCCCTTTTGATTTATCATTTTCTTTCTCTGTATACCCTTTTCCTGAACCATTTGAGACTAAGTTGTAGATATTACGCTCCTTTAACCTTCAGTATTTCAGAATGTATATCCTGAGTACTAAGACATTTTTTTACATAAAAACAACACAATTATCAAAAGCTGTAAATTTTACATTGTTATAGTACTATTCATCTAATCCACAGACCTTTATAAATTTTGGCCAATTATCCCAAGAATGTCATATAGAGGTTTTCCCCCTTCTGTCCCCACTAGGTCAGATTACAATGTAGAAGCACACATCGAAATTAATTTAGTTATCATGTTTCTTTAGTCCCTTTTAACATAAACATCTCAGTTTTTGCCTTTCTTAGACTAGAATTTTTGAAGAATTCAGGCCAGTTGTTTTGTGGAATATTCCTCAGTTTGGGCTTGCCTGATACTTCCTCAGGATTAGATTAAGATTATTCATTTTTTGCTCATCATCACTGGCCATCAGAGAAATGCAAATCAAAACCACAATGAGATACCATCTCACACGAGTTAGAATGGCGATCGTTAAAAAGTCAGGAAACAACAGGTGCTGGAGAGGATGTGGAGAAATAGGAACACTTTTACACTGTTGGTGGGACTGTAAACTAGTTCAACCATTGTGGAAGACAGTGTGGCAATTCCTCAAGGATCTAGAACTAGAAATACCATTTGACCCAGCAATCCCATTACTGGGTATATACCAAAAGGATTATAAATCATGCTACTATAAAGACACATGCACATGTATGTTTATTACGGCACTATTCACAATAGCAAAGACTTGGAACCAACCCAAATGTCCATCAATGATAGACTGGATTAAGAAAACGTGGCACATATACACCATGGAATACTATGCAGCCATAAAAAAGGATGAGTTCGTGTCCTTTGTAGGGACATGGATGAAGCTGGAAACCATCATTATGGGCAAACAATTGCAAGGACAGAAAACCAGACACCGCATGTTCTCTTAGGTGGGAATTGAACAATGAGAACACATGGACACAGGGTGGGGAACATCACACACCGGGGCCTGTCGTGGGGTGGCTGGAGCGGGGAGGGATAGCATTAGGAGATATACCTAATGTAAATGATGAGTTAACGGGTACAGCACACCAACATGGCACATGTATACATATGTAACAAACCTGGACATTGTGCACATGTACCCTAGAACTTAAAGTATAAAAAAAAAAAACTAAAAAAGATGATTCATTTTTTTTTTTTGGCTGGGCGTGGTGGCTCATGCCTGTAATTCCAGCACTTTAGGAGGCTGAGGCTGGTGAATCACTTGAGGCCAGGAGCTCGAGACTAGCCTGGCCAACATGGTGAAAACCCATCTCTACTAAAAATACAAAAATTAGCTGGGCATGGTGGCAGGCACCTATAATCCCAGCTGCTCGGGAAGCTGAGGCAGGAGAATCGCTTGAACCCGGGAGGCAGAGGTTGCAAAGAGCTAAGATCACACCACTGCAGTCTAGCCTGGAGAATAGAGTGAGACTCAGTCTCAAAAAAAAAAAAAAAAAAAAAAGATTATTTTTGGCAGGCATACCATTGGTATGATGGTTTTTTTCTCTCAGTGTATCTTATAAGAAGGCACAGATGTCTGTCCTATTACTGGTGATAAGTTGGATTGCTTGGTTAGGTGGTGTCTGCTTGGCCTCTCCACAATAAACTTACTGTTTGACCCTTTGTAATAATTTGTGGGAGGTACTTTGAGACTATGTAAATATTCTGTTTCTCATCAATATCTCATCTACTCGTTTTAGCACCAAGTGATTCTTGTCTGAATCAACTATTTCTGCACTGATTGCAAAAGCATAATTTTCTAATGCCAGCATTGCTTCTGTATTAATTATAAAAGCTGAGTGTAGACGTTGGTTTTTAAAAATTTTCGTTTGTTATTTTTAATTTGACACATAATAATCATACATATTTATGGGGTATAGTGTGATAAGTCAGTACACATATACAATGGGTAGTAATCAAATCAGAGTAAGTAACATATCCATCACCTCAAACGTTTATCATTTCTTTGTGTTGGGAATATTTAAAATAGGTTCTTATTTGAAAATATACCATAAATTGTTTTTAATTTCAGTCATCTGGCTGGGTGTGGTGGCTCACTCCTGTAATCCCATCACTTTGGGAGGCCGAGGTGGGCAGATCACTTGAGGTCAGGAGTTTGAGGCCAGCCTGGCCAACATGGTGAAACCCTGTCTCTACTAAAAATACAAAAAAAAATTAGCCAGGCATGGTGGCACACACCTGTAGTCCCAGCTACTTGGGAGGATGATGCAGGAGGATTGCTTGAGCCTGGGAGGTGGAGGTTGCAGTGAGCCAAGATCGTGCCACTGCACTCCAGCCTGGGAGACAAAGTGAGACTCTGTCTCAAAAAAATTAAAAAATAATAATAATTACAGTCACCCTATAGCACTATAGAACACTAGAATTCATTCCACCTATCTGGCTGTACTTTTGTATTTGTTAACCAATGTCTAATATACCTACCTTCCCCTACCATCCCAGCCTCTAGTAACCATTATTCTACTCTGTACGTCTATGAGATCAACTTTTTTAGCTTTGTTATGAGTGAGAACATGTGTTATTTATCTTTCTGTGCCTGCATTATTTCTCTTAACATAGCATGTATTTATATTACATGAAACGTAACGTGTTTATATTACAATTTCTTTATTCATTCGTCTGTTGATGGGAACTTAGGTTGATTCCATGTCTTGGCTATTGTGAATAGTGCTTATAATAGTATGGCGGTTCCTTAAAAAGCAAAAACTAGAACTACCATATAATCTAGCAGTCCTGATGCTGAGTATATCCAAAGGAAAGGAAATGAATATGTCAGAGAGATCTGCACTCCTATGTTCATTAATCCTATTCCTCCATTAATCCCTTCCTCCATACTGTTCATAGTGGCTATATTATTTTACATTTCCAAGAACTTTGTATACGAATTCTTTCTCCAAATCCTCACCAGCATTTGCTAGGTTTTGTCTTTATTTTTTTTTTTTTTCTTGGAGACAGAGTCTCACTCTGTTGCCCAGACTGGAGTGCAGTGGCATCATCTCGGCTCACTACAACTTCCGCCTCTCAGGTTCAAGCAATTCTTATGCCTCCGCCTCCTGAGTAGCTGTGACTATAGGCACACACTACCACGCCTAGCTAATTTTTTGTATTTTAGTAGAGACGGGATTTCACCATGTTGCCCAGTCTGGTCTCGAACTCCTGAGCTCAGGCAGTCCACCTGCCTCAGCCTCCCAAAGTGCTGGGATTACAGGCATCAGCCACCACGCCCAGCAGTTTTTGTCTTTTTGCTAACAGCCATCCTAATTAGGGCAAGATGGTATCTCATGGTGCTTTTGATTTGTAATTCCCTGATGATTAGTGACACTGAGGAGTTTTTTTCATATGCCTCTTGGCCATTTGTGTGTCTTCTTTTGAGAGATGTCTATTCCAATTCATTTACTCATTTTTTAATTGGATTATTTGTGAGGTTTTTTTTGCTCTTGTTTGAGTTCCTTGTATATTCTGGATATTAATCACTTGTTAGATGAATAGTTTGCAAATATTTTCTCCCATTCTACAGGTTGCCTCTTTATTCTTTTAATTGTTGTCTTTATTGTGCAGAAGCATTTTAGTTTTATATAATCACATTTGTTTAGTTTTGCTTTTGTTGCCTGTGCTTTTGAGGTCTTCCTAAAATCTTGACCCGGACCAATGTCCTGAAGCATTTCCCCTATGTCATCTTCTAATAATTTCATAGTTTCAGGTCTAAACGTTTATATCTTTAATTTATTTTGAGTTGGTTTTAGATACGATGAGAATTAGGGTGTCTAGCTCCTTATTTCTTGAAATGGATATCTAGTTTTCTCAGCACCATTTATTGAAGACACCGTACTTGCTCCAGTGAATGTTCAATACATGGATTTCTGGATTCTCTATTCTGTTTCATTGGTCTGTATGTCTGTTTTTATGCCAGTACCATGCTGTTTTGGTTACAATAGCATTGCAGTTTAGGGTCAAGTAGTGTGATGTCTCCAACTTTGTTCCTTCTGCTCAGGATCTCTTTGGAGTCTTTTGTGGTTCTCTAGGCATTTTAGGCTTTTCTATTTCTTTCTTTCTTTTTTTTTTTTTTTTTGAGACGAAGTCTTGCTCTATCACCCAGTCTGGAGTGCAGTGGCATGATTTCAGCTCACTGCAACCTCTGCCTCCCGAATTCAAGCAGTTCTTCCTGCCTCAGTCCCCCGAGTAGCTGGGGTTATAGGCACCCACTACCACTCCTGGCTAATTTTTGTATTTTTAGTAGAGACAGGGTTTCACCATGTTGGCCAGGCTGGTCTTGAACT